GCTTGCACCGCTGGTGACAATGAGTTAATCACGTTCGAAGCTGACTACTTTGCGAACCTATTGTCTAAAGACCATGCGAGCGTGCGTAAGAGGCTCCCCGAATCAAACCGCGATTGGGTCACGATAACGACGTCACAAATCAGCTGATATGTGTTTTTGGTTATTGTTTTTCGAGAAATCGCTCACGTTTTTGGTGATGTTATTTTGTATTTTGTCCGCCTCGGTGGAACCGGGGTTACGGTATTTGGCTGATGACCTGAAGGTCGGGGTTCGATGCCAGCCGTGTACTGTGCGACGTCCGTGCACGTCAGAGCACACCATGATGGTCGAAATTTCCGGAGCCCTCCACTACGGCGTCTCTCATAATCACCTCGTGGTTTTGGGAAGTAAAACGTCAGATCTTAGTATTTTGTAAAACGAATTAATAAACTATTTGCTTGTATGCATGCGGCCACTTTATGATCGGCAGACATCCGTGGAAGTCGGCGCACAATACGTCATGGGAAAGTACTGTTTAACTACTGGAGTGGTGTCCTTTTCGCTTCCTTTCGGTGATACCCGAGCCTCCAGCGGCAAGAAGCCGGGCCAAATTAGCTGCGACTGCTAAAACGCACAGTCCCCAAATACTATAACTCAATAGCATGTGGAACCTTCCGGCGAGAGAGGAAAAAAAAATAACGACCCATTCAGATGGAGCACTTGCAGTCATCCGCGAACTTTTACCTTTGTCCATGCAGCCTTTCGCGTTAACGTGTTCATTTTTAGGTATGTTTAACACAAGCGGTCAATAACTCAACTAAACTATCATGCGCCGCTTCCAAGTTGATTCGCTGCCACGAGGGTACCGACAAAGCTATCGCTGCGCGAGGTCTTCTTTTTTTTTTAATGTATAGGAGAAACTGATACTTTTTATAATGGCACTGGCTATTCCTTCTCGCTTAGCGGAAAAAATACATAACAAGAATAATAACATTACACAAAATGTTACAGATCCGAACATATTGAATGCGGAAACGCAGCACAATTCAACACAAGTACATATATAGGTTCGTGCGAAGCACTATAGTTGAAGTAGGCGAAATGTATTCTCGCGAAGACGCCCAAGCCCTGTGGTGTGCCTTACAACGATTTGCGAGATAAACGCAAAGCCGCGCCAGAAAGGCCGCTAGAGCAAACACCGCTCACGCGAGATGGTCTTCCAGCGTGACGTGCACGCCACGGTGTCGGTTCTCACGGACATCGCGTGACGCCCCGCGGGCGGCCGAGGTTGCTCTTCGAAAGCGAGCACACAAAAGAGGCAGTCCGTGCATCGACGCCGGAGGAAATTCTGTTTTGGTTTCGGATGGGACGTGATAGTGAGTGACTGACAGCTTTGTCCGACACTGACAGCTTTGTCCGACAGCTTTGTCCGCCCGACTGTGTGGGTTGCGTTTTCGTTTTGTTTTTCCTCAGGAAAAAGGCGAACTGCGTGAACACACTGGTGTTGCGCGCACACAAGCACCAGCTGGCCAGAACAGACCCATTCTAGGATTTCTAAGAGTAAACAGCGTCACTGTCTTTCGCTTGCTTGAATCGTCGTACACCTGCAGTTCGATAGCCGAGATGTTAAAGGTGTTTTGTTGCTCCCGTTGGTGCGAAGAGAAATGAACCGGTACGCAATCACTCCGCCCGCGTCACTTTTTGCTTCGCTCCCACAACACCTGCGCCGATTTGTCCGGCCGTGAAATGCAGTACGTATTTACTCGCGTAATGGTCGCACTTGCGTAATGATCGCACTCGCGTAATGGTCGCACTCGCGTAAGGATCGCACCCCTAAATTTTGTCGTCTAAATTCGATTTTTTCCCCACGTAATGATCGCACCCCGAACTTGCCGCATCGATATGTCGTGTGCCAAGTCTAGCCGATGATCATCGCCTTTATTATCTGTCGAAACTCGCCAACTGCGTGCACCAAAAAATATTCTTAATTTTTTGCCCACCGTTGGCGGAAACGTGCCATTAAGGATTGCAGTAAGGGCAAATGCCGCCGGTTTCACTGAATGCCCGCCATGTGTTTTTATGTCGCAGCAGCTGAACGCGCCTATCATTGTTTCTGTGATCTGAAAGCAGGCATTACTATGCTAATGTCGTAAATTCACTGATTTAAATGAAACATTCCTTATTCAGATGGAAGACACTGTTTCGACGCGCGTGACGTACTCACGACCTTCATAACTGACAAAACAAGAAAAAAAAAATGCGGTCGCTTCACTCCGTTAGAGTGTACTAGAAGTGCCCTTCTAGTACACTATCTCCGTTCTAGTACACTGACATCCCGCACTGTTACAGCGGCGGCCGCTTGTTGGTCGACCTGTGACACTGACGCCAATGACGCTTCGGAGTGTGAATGAACGTTAGGGGGTCAGAGAGGTAAAAAATAAAAGGGCAGTGTGCCATGCATGTAGCTCCTGCGCAATGCGCGCATTTTATTACAAAGGTAAGCCTTAATTTACTCTTATTTTTGGTTATGTTTATGATAGCTATCGTAGGAATTCTGATTAGCGAATTTTCGCGTTTTCGGTGCTCGGAATATTTTTTCACAGAAAGTTTACCCCGCGTAATGATCGCATGCTGAAGTTCGAGCCAATTTTTTTGAAAAAAAAAAAGTGCGATCATTATGCAAGTATATACGGTAACTGTGGTGGGCGAATATTCTACGTGATTAAAAATTAAGAGACATCACGTAACAGCTGGTCACTAAACTAAAATCAAATAACATTGCGCAACCACTAGCCGCGGGGCTGAAAATTACCCAAGTAGTCATGTGATGATGATGATGATGACGACGATGACGATGATGATGATGATAGGTGGCTGTTCCCTTTGAATCGGGTGGTCACATATATTGTAACCTAGCCGGTAAGAAAGGAAAAAAAGAAGAAAGAAGAAGGCGAGAGAAAGAAAGTCTCGGAAGAGAGCGGGGCACACACTTGTCACATAAGTCTTTGTGCACTATATAAGTGCCGTATCTGCCCTGTCAGTCCCTATCGCATCGTAGCCTTCCACCACATTTGTAGACGAGCCTTTGTTGTCGCCATGGCAGGATGTCAGTGGCGTCATGATCTTCTGCTGCAAATCCAAGCGCTTGAGGCAGAGTGGTGCCCTCTGCTGGCCGTGGAGAAAGACGGGCGCAATCCAGAATCAGGTGCTCAGCCGTCTCGTTCGTTTCGAAGCAGCAGCGACAGATAGCAGCTTGAACCCGTGGGTCCTGATCGAAACCACGACGATACGTGAGCGTACGCAACGCTCCTGCACGTGCCTCAAACAGCAGAGCACTGCCTACGCTGTTGTCATGGAGTTTTTCCCTGCCTAGTTCAGCCTGGTATTTGCCATACATCCACAGGGTAGACTTACGCAGCACTCCTGATCGTCATTGGGCGCTTTCTACTTCTCGGACTTGAGTGCGCACCGAACGCGGTGTGAGGCCTTCGGGTGAGCCACTGTCTGTTTCGCCGAAGAAGCCGAATTTCCCGCGCAGCTGGTGAACTCTATTCGAGCATTGCGTCCGAATACCCTTGAGGTAGAGGTAACGGAAAATGCGCCTGGCCCAGCGCGAGTCACCCAGACACCGGAGGCGGGCCTCAAACGCTAATTTGCTGCGCGCCTCCCTGGCTTCGAATGATGACCAGCCGATGTCTCCCTGAACTGCCTCCATGGTCACCCTTCTATGACAGCCGAGGGCCCACCTCTTTCTGCGCACGCCCAAGCCATTCGCGGGTGCTCGTCGACAGGCACAGAACGGCGTTTGCGAAAGTCAGGCAAGGCACACGTACCGCCTTCCATAGCTCGCGTACAATTACATACCGGTTGAAACCCCACAGGCAGCACTTCAGTGGGGTGCCGATCGCTCGTTGTGACGACTGCCTCATCTTGGCCTCGTGGACGTCGTAACACCCTCTATCACAAAGTGTCACCCCGAGGTGTCGGTACTCGGTGCTGCGAGGGATCAGCGGGTGATTGAAAATCATGCAGCGCCACGTAACGTCTGCGAAGTGACTAAAACACGCAATATTCGTATAACCAGTCACGTGACTAAGGGCACGTAACATCACGTAACTAGTCACGTGACCAAAAGCACGAAACATCGTGCAACAACTATGACCGCGACTAAAATCACGTAACAGCTAGTAACGCGACAGGTTACCGCCATAACTACGTGACACGTACAAGCGTAGTGTGGGGAATCGACCATGACCGAAGATGTACAGCCACGTCTAACTACACTCAGTACTACTAGCAGAAGCTTAGCTACGTTATTCTAGTTCAACATAGCTTGGCATCACTTGCAAAAACTAACAAAGAGGTACGTTGATACCTAGCTCCGCTGTTGGTTCCAGCCTTGCGCAACTTGTGCAAGCTACATTAGGTTTTTTTTTCTGCCAACTTGGTATTACTGGTGTGGCTGCAGCATAGGTGATGATGTCTGACAGCTCTCTTGCGAGTGCATACCGTCCTAGACAGTAATTATAATAATTATGAGGGGGGGGGATCAGTCATTTTCGTTGATGTCGAATTATTTTACATCAGCCTAAATTATTTTACATCATCCAGTAAAGAGAACTGATTTGAAAAGACCTGCGGTAAAATGCTTCCTAGGCGGCGATCTACAACCTGCAGAACGTAGCCACAACTTGAATAAACCTGCTGAAGAATCCTCTAAAGAGTGCTTCTCCTAATAATGAGACTTACTGCGGAGAAGTAAACTTCAGCACAGTTACAACTTTAGTGGTGTTACCTTTGGCGTGTTTCATACATCAATGTGCATAACAACGAGCAGCCGTTGATGTCGAATTGTCGGCAGCTCGTCAATTGTGGTAGATTCGGTGCAGATGTTGTCGTTCTTTTTTTCATCACGAATTTTGCCTCATAACCCTTAGGGGCGTTTGCTATGTAAATACTCCCTGGACCAAACAACGTGTGCCGCAGCATGACTTACAGTGTATCTCACAGTCGTAGATAGGTCAAAGCTGGACGTCCATGTCGTAAAAGTTGTTCTCAGTCAGCGTCGGTCTGCGTAGCAATGCTGGCTCGGCTACTTGTCGAGACCAACGAACAGGCAGACCGCTGCTTGTCGCTCATCTCGTAGTCAACTGCAATGTGTGGCAAAAAGAGCATCGTGTCAGCAGAGCGAGGCAACTGGAGTAGGTACAGTTTTAAAATGTTACAAATGGGACCTTTCCCGTCGAAAGTAAAGTTTAGCCGCTTCAGCTCCGGACATGCACCCTACACTGCCCTGAGTACAATGAAGAGCACTGCTCGTTAGCACACATGCGCTGGCGATGTTCTGCGTTACAACATGCATATTTTAAGTAAACAAAGAAAATTGGTAGGAAGCCCTCAGAAATCTATCCCCAAGAACAACTAAGTGCTGTCCAAAGGGCCTGCGAACGGGTGGAGGACCATTGGTCTTCTAGCCCTAACATAGGCACGGCCCTGCAACTCCGACTTTGTAATTTCTTAGGACCCCAATAAAGTTTGACAAATTACCAACCGAATAACTGCACAACTTGAGCTCACACTGATCGTCTATTGTTCAAACAGCGTGGCGATAGCTCCAAGCTGAATGCAAACGGCGCGATATTCATGCACCATCTAAATAGTAGGTAGATGATCATTAGATAAATATAAACGTGTAGTTCATCACGTATTAGCAACACTCTTAAACGCGAAAGCTTTCTAAAAATGTAATCTTCAAAAAGCTAGATTTTTCGCGTAGCTGTAGAGAGCTGCCGTGAAGTCACCGTTACAAACCGAAATTTTCGTTTGTCGTTTTGAAGTTAGCCTATTGTCCTTAAAAAATTGTGGCAGGTTACACGCAAGAAATTACGGAAATATAAACGTCAATATTATATACCACGGATGAGTATATTCAACATTATTTAAGAAGAAACGGCGCAGTTAATGACGTTTAACATGTCAGTCTTTGGCATTGCATCATGAGCTGCTCGTGATGTAGCGAAAAGGAGCTGCTTGTGTGCTCAATATTTGACGAAGTCTTCTGCGGGCCTTTTATGTTTTTTTTTGTTTCATTTTTTAACAAAACTAAGAAAGTGCTCAATTAGAGTGTATTCAGTCAACTCTTCCACGAACACTCACAGCGATCAGGGGTCACATAGTGACTATATGACGGTTTATTCGCGTGCACCCCGTTTCTTGGGGCACTCCGTAGTTACATTGTGGTATATCGTACTCCTATCCCTTTTCGGACTACCTTAATTGGTGAGATAGGCGCAAGCGAATTGTTATTTGGTTCGTGTACACAAAGAGCACAAAAAGAGATGGAGTCAATAAAGAAGTAACAGGCTGACAAGTACCACCAACAGGGGTACAACGCGTATGCCTGCTTCTTCGAGAAAGGGGGAACATAAAGGAAATGAAATTCCTAGGCCAGAAAATGGAAATGAAGGAGAGAAAAATACAAATAACACAGGCGGGAAAACAAATACATAGTGACACAGGAAAGTGCCAGTAAACTTGAGGCCAAACTGCCTTTGTTCATGAAAGGTAGCTGGGCACGCCGAGCAGCGCATGTTTTCCTGAAACAGGCGATCGTCAAGGCCCGCGCACTTAAGTCCAATAAATGAGTAAAGACTCGACGCTAGACTGGCTGATTTGACAAAGCAGCTAACAAAAACGTCGTATGTTTTACAAATTGCTTTCGAACCAACGGTGGCTCTTGCCTGCTATAAATGCGATGCGCTCACCGTCAGACTGCGTGGCCGACTCGACGCGGTTCTTGAGCGTGCCGTACTTGGCCATCATGGACTGGCGCACATTCTTCTCCGGGTGGAGCACGATGATGTACAGCTTGGGGAAGAAGAAGCAGATGAGGGTGACGGTGCCGCTCAGCGAGACGGCCATCGCCATGCTGGTGAGGTTCAGATTCACGTGGCGCCAGGTGGTCAGGTAAATGGGCAGGAAGGCCAGCCAGATGACGCACGTGGTGTACATGGCGAAGCCGATGTACTTGGACTCGTTGAACGCCTCCGGGATCTTGCGCGTGAGCACCGCGTAGACGGTGCACACAATGACGAGCATGAAGGGGTAGATGAGCGACAGCGTGTAGCCGATCAGGTTCACCGACGCCAGGCACACGAGCAGGTTGTCCTCGCGCGTCGGGTGGTGGTGGACGGCGCGCGGAGGGTTAAGCGCCAGCCACAGGATTGCCACCAGGCCCTGCACCGACACCAGGGCGCCGCAGAGTGCCAGCTGCGATCGCGGCGATATGCAGCCGGGCCGCTGAGCCGACCGGCGGCCCGCGTGGAAGATGCGGTGGATGCGCACCGCCTTGGCAAGCACGGCCGAGTACACGACCGCGAAGCAGAGGCCCAGCGCGGCGCGCTGCGCTCCGCACACCACCGTGCTGGGCCGTTGCACGAGCAGCAGCGCCGTGCCCTGGCACATGCAGATGCCGCCGAGCAGCACGAAGCAGAGCTCGCGGCCGGAGGCGCGGACCTACCGGCGTGTCGATGTGCTTGAGGAACACGAACAGCGTGGCCGCCGTGAAGACGGTGCCGACCGCCGCGAGCACCAGCGTGGCCACGGCGAGCGGCGACGAGGGACTCATGTGCGACTCCGGCACCGGCACGCAGCGCTCGTGGTGCACGTCGGGCAGCGTGCCGGGCGCGCAGTCGGCGCACACGCCGTTCTCGGCGGCGAACGTGTAGCCGGAGCAGCGGACGCAGTGCCAGCAGCACTGCTCGTTGTCCACCATCTTCTGCGCTGAGCCGCGTGGGCATGGGTCGCTGCACACCGAACGCGGCAGCTCGCTCGAGCCCAGCCGAAACTGCAGCTCGGCTAGCTGCAAGTGCAGCGTGCCGTCCACGTACGTTCCAACGCGCACCCAGCGGTACTTGCCGGGCTCGACTTGCTTGAAGTGCAGGATGTTGTAGCGCGCCGGGCCGTCTCCGCTACTGGAGAAGCGGAAGTGGTCCTTGCTCAGACCTGCGCCACAACGGCACTCTCATAAAAAAGACGCACGCATGGTAGCACAGTGTTCGAGTGAGACAAAAAAAAGGAATACACCAATATTTCTCGAAGCTGTTCACGGAATTGGTTCTGACCGAGACACATCGGGTTGTAGGCGTCCGTTCTCAGATACTGTGCTACCGGAAACACTGTGCCGTAGTAATCGATATTCGAAATATGCATATCATACCAATAAGACGCCCGCACTCCCAGGGTACGAAATGCCGGGGAACTGGCCTACCCGGTCTACAGCGCGAGCGGCTGGTAGGGCGTTGCTGTGGCTTCTTCGAGAAACTGAACTGAACTACAAGTTCTAATCGGTCTCAGAAAATGCTTTCAGACAACGTTATTTGTCATGGTTTTGCGGTGTTGTTATAAACACCCTTCTCCTGTTTCATTCTTTCGCAACCTCATTCCTTCTTCCCCCAGTACAGGGTGGCCAACTAGAGATCTCCCCCGGCTAACCTCTCTGTCTCTCCTCTCTCTCAATTTGCAGCTATGTATATGCAAAGGGTACACCTATATGGATGTTGCACAATGCTGATTCACTTCTCGATCAGCGAAACCATCATTTTTTTGTTTTTCAGGGGGCCCTTCGCTTCTATACTGGGGACTGTGGCTATAAGGAACATGGCGTGCTCATAAAGGTACGCGCACTTCATATATTTGCCGAATTTAAATTAATTTGCATGAGTGTGCGCTATTTTCATGGTGGTACAAAAAAAAAAACAAATTGTGGTAGAGTTTTCTTCGAGATTGTGACCATATGCTTTTTTTTTCGTTCATGAAGTACTTGCTCTAAACATCTGGTGTACCCGTAAGACATACTTGTCTAAGGGCCAAAATTTCAGAGTTCTCGACCTTCTTTAAACCAACTTGATTCAAATCCATTGATGTGTTCATTAGGAAGCCGTTAATAAAATTCGAACAGAAACAGTTGCTTCATTCAAAAGATGGGAAACTATAGTAACTTATTCGAGGTTCTCATAATCGTATATAGTCTCATCCTATTTCCTCTTTTTCTTTCGAAATGAAGTCATTGCTTAATATCCTACCACACTCGTTACAGTAAAAACAGCCAGTGTGATGTCAACTAATGGCGGCTTTTTTTTGCACATTTGGGCATCCTTACAAACGGTAAATGATTAACTTAAAGGAAAGCAACTATTCCTAGTTTGAATTACCACGGTAAGGCACCAGCAGCCTTGTATCCTGTTACGTTAGCGGAAAGTTTCTCAGTTTTGTTTGAAAGCGGAGGCGAAAATAGCCACTGATATGGCCTCGTGGGGTGACAGTGACTGGGCTAGAACTGGTATGCTATAGCTTGGGCGTTTCGTACCTTCGCTGCCCACCACCCTAACTGAAATGAACGTTTGCATTTTTACGCGTACATAATATATACAAGCACACATGCAAACACACGCGCGGATCATGCACAAAGAGGAGATCGGAGGATTACACATTCATGGAAATTGCATTTTTATGGCTACATAATAAATTTTTGATATGCTGTGTTTTCAATGTGCCGGAAGAGGCGTTGTTAATTGAAGCTGTATTCTTTATCCTAAGCTGTATATTATCTCCAATTTATCCCAAAATAGTAATGCAGTGCCTTTCAATTTCCGTAAGTGTATATCACTATTGCTGCAGTTTGTATACAATCCATTTGTCAACTAATGACAACATTTTGCTTAAAACTCATTTAAATGGGCAGGGCGCACCACGACAAGGACACAAAATACAGGCATATAAAGCGTGTGTTGATTGATTGATTTGTGGGGTTTAACGTCCCAAAACCACCATTTGATTATGAGAGACGCCGTAGTGGAGGGCTCCGGAAATTTTGACCACCTGGGGTTCTTTAACGTGCACCCAAATCTGAGTACACGGGCCTACAACATTTCCGCCTCCATCGGAAATGTATAAAGCGTGTGTGCTTGTCGTGGTGCGCCATATTAATGCCTGGGCGTGTCGGTACGACGTCTCAAAAAAAAAATACAGCGAGAAAGACCAGAAAAATTTATTTGTGCCCCGATTTCTCTAGTGCTCCGTCTTTCACGCCGTTTTGTTTTTGCGAGATGTGGTCTCGAATGCACTTTCGCCGCGTACAACTATACGCCGTGTCGAGTGACGGAAGACGACCGGCGCGCACCTTGGAATGTGACGTTCTTTAGGTAAGAGAGCAGGTCTGTGCCGTTGACGGGCCGCATGCTGTCGCAGAGGCCGCTCGTGTTGCCGCATATCTCCTCGTGCATCCTGCGAAGCGCGTGCGCGAAGGCGAGCACCGCGTTGCTGACGAACTGCAGCTGCGCCTCCAACTTGTACGCCTTGTTGTCGCTGATGCGCTCCTCGCCCGTGCAGCTCCGCCGGTGGCGCTGGTTGAACGGCGTCACCAGGCTGCCGTTCCATTTGCACCTGCGACAGCGAACACGCACATGTATACGTGGAGACTTGCGGCGTTGCCTATGTTTTCCCCAGGCGTTACTACACGTTCCATATAGCGACGAAGAGAGACACACCTATTTGCATTTTTATCGCTTTTTCGCAAACGAGGAGGGATCGAAAGTGGAGAAAAAGGGAGGAAAGGCCGGAAAGTTGACTGAACGCACGTCTGTCTTGTTACCCTACTCTGGCGAAATGGGATTAGGGGATTAAAAGTTTGAGCGCTAGAGAATTGGAAAGGAGCGAGCATACGAAAAAATCGCATTATTATTATTATTATTATTATTATTATTATTATTATTATTATTATTATTATTATTATTATTATTATTATTATTATTATTATTATTATTATTATTATTATTATTGCGTTTGTTGTTGTTCGCATACACGGATACACAAGAACACAGAGAAGAAAGAGAGAGAGCAAGCAGACAACTGCCACCGGCAGGGGTGCAACATCTGCTTATAACTCTTTTGGGAGCAGGAGGGAAGAGAGATAGAATAGGAAGATATGAAGAGAAAATAAGAGAAGTAAAGAAAAAATTACGAAGACTTAGACAAACATAAGTAAACTGAAAAAAAAAGTGTACATATACACCTGACCACCCGTTTATAACCGTAGTCCTGTAGTGGCCAGCCGTTGTCAGTACCTATGCACACTGTGGTTTCCCTGTGTCTTCTTCGAAGCAGACATGTAAAAAAATGCTCGATGTCTAGGAAACCAAATCCGTCTCGTCATTCACAGTGCAAAAACATAGGAACACCACTGTGTTCAAGAGGAGGGAAGATCGAGGTAACACAAGCGCTTGTGTTCTCTTCGTTACTTTTTTCTTGTCCATTCTTGCATGAATACTTCCTTTTGTAGTGAACTACTAGCAACTGTAGCTCAAAGACCCTGTGATTCAAAGCAGGCGTACTCTGAATTAACTGAGAAAAGGTTTGGTGCGAATTGAACCAGGACACATAACACAAAATAACAGGTTCAAATCAGAATTCTTTATACTCAGAAACAGTTTTAACATGGCCTAACAACACACAGAGCCTCCAAACTTAGCATTCACTCCGCCTATAGTGTGGTCGCGGCCCTTTAATTAATTGATTGATTGATATGTAGGGTTTGATGTCCCAAAACCACCATATGATTATGAGATACGCCGTAGTAGAGGGCTTCGGGAATTTCAACCACCTGGTGTTTTTAACGTGCACCCAAATCTGAGCACACGGCCCTTTAAATAATTAATTACCTATTTAATTAATGTACATTAAAATGCGGATACAGAAACATATACAAACGAGGGTTCCGCAGTTGAAGACTGCAGCGGGATCTTCGGTTAATGAAGTTAACAAGAAGTCTAAAAACGAAAAACAGGGAGCAGATGAACGGCAACGAATAAAAGAAAGAAAGAAAGAAAGAAGGAAATGAAGGAAGGAAGGAAATGAAGGAAGGAAGGAAGGAAGGAAGGAAGGAAGGAAGAAAGAAAGAAAGAAAGAAAGACAGAAAGAAAGAAAGAAAGAAAGAAAGAAAGAAAGAAAGAAAGAAAGAAAGAAAGAAAGAAAGAAAGAAAGGAGATGCAAAAAGACGCAAGTAATATCCTAGAGTTAAAGTAGTATAAAGATTAAAACACTGCAAAAAAACAATAACTTGCAAAAGTACTAACAATGCTAATTATAACACAAATAATGCATTGTGGCGATCAGAAAGAACAAAAAAGAAAACCAAGCTATATAGGTAGCCATATACTGAATTGGGGTAAATTTACACTGGAAAAAAAATTAATGTCATATTTGAATTGATGAAAAGCAGACGATGTTCTGATATTCAGGGGCAAACTATTCCACAGTTTTATGGTGGTCAATTTTGAGGTCATCTTACCGTAGTTAGTATGTACAATGGGCAAAAAAAAAGAGCTGTTTTCAAGCCTGGTGGTACTTCTATTAGTAAGATATTTGTAATCAACCAATTACTACCAGAGCTGTTTATTAGACAGTTTATCAGGCTATTTATAACGTTGTGGCCACCCGCAAGCTCTTTCATATAAACGATAAATATCAGAATACGTCGTCTATAAACAAGCACAAAATCAATCTTTGGCTTTGTGTTCACGTAGACTCGACATGGCTCACGTACTTGTCTACTCAACGCCACTATCGTTCCCTTTTTTTCTTCTTTTTTGTAGAATGTGTGCGTAAGCTAGTTTGTCTAAAACATCTTCAAAAAAAACATAAGTAACAGTTTCAAACTTTTTATTCTTGCTAACAGCTTCGTCGTCAGAAAAAAAAAAACTGAGAAAAAAAAGAAAAGGAAAAGGTTGGAAGGCACACACGGCTAACTTTTCTATCGTGTGCCACCAAATTTAAAGCAAGTAACCTAGCAAAAAGTATTCGGATCTCTTTAGTGACTTCTTTTCATGTTTTGCTACCTCTCTCGCTTTCTGGCTGGCAATGAAATATAACGTTGATAACCGAACCGGTGATGTTTCGACATCGCAGAACGGTTTGTTTGCCTAATTTCCGCGAAACTAAGTTTATGTAGTCTGTAATCCTTCATTTATGCGTGGCAGCACGGCGCAATGTGTATTCGTTTTCCCAGACGTGAACAGTAGTTTTTGTATATGACAAGTAAAGCAGAACGAGCACGAAAAGAAGAAAAAAAATTATGGAAAAAATTTTCAATCAGTTGAACCGAGACATGGTACGTATTCGAACTTGCGTATTTACTCGCTTGAGTCTGGACAGTCGGAATCATTTGTAAGCCGCTTGCTGTTAACCACGTACCATAACCGAAGCACACTAAACACCGAACGAAAATTTCGGAACCAACTACTCTATGCTGGGCCACATTTATCGAGGCGCCAGCACGCAGCGTCCAAGAAAGAACTCGATTTGCTAATGGCTTGGGTAATGAACCAGCGCTACCTAGCGGGCGCCTGATTATTAATGATATATCGCAGGTCGCAGTAACAGGAACGTGCTGTGTTTGTCCGGTCGGGTCTCGTTTGGGACTTTTGCCCGAAAGGAATAGCTGCTTCGAAGCGGAACTCACGCAACATTGATTTCCCCTTCGCCGGTATACATATGCCCCCCATTTGGACGTCACCCATTTAGTGATCCCTTGCCTAACCGCGTCGCATTTTTGGCCCTAACGTCAGTACGTCGTACCACCGTGCCACGCTACCCCACTGAACCACTTTATCACCATCAGTGCATTGCCGCTATGGGCGTGAGCACGGGGGCAGGGTGGGGGTTGACCGAGGGACCTTCACCACTTCCCCCCGCAAACACCACAGGGGTGCGCAAAGTTCGTTCAATACATTCAAGTGCGGAGCACATCGGGGGGGCCGGGCTGTCGTGTGATGTAGTATTCTGTCGTCGTCTCCTGGCGTAACGCATCACTTGTTAGATAATCAGAGCTCGCTCCCGCCAAGGGGATGCCTTCTGTTTGTTCTTCGAGCGCCTTGATGTGATCACTTATCATCAGAAAAAAAAAACAAAAAAATACTTCCGCGCTTATTGTAACGCAAGCAGGACCACGTATAACAACAAAGTAAAAGAGAAAAACCAAGCGCAAAATAGAAAGGGAGAAAAAGAGAAAATTTAGGGAGAAAAATAGAGAGAACAATAAAGGAAAACAATAGATAGAGAGTGAGGAAATGAATAGAAATAAAAAGAATAAAAAAAACAGGAGAAACAACGGGTAAAGTAGAAAAAAGAGGGGAGGAAAGAAAAGAGAAAACCAAAGAGAAACAAAAAAGGCTCCGCACTTCCTTCAGTCTCGGCATTCCTAGTGCGAAGCTTGCCTAATATTCTATTCATTTAAACCCAAATTTATTTTATTTATTTTATGTCCACGTAAATTTTTTTCAGTAATCGCGATTGAAGGTGTCTGATGCAGCAATGCGAGCACTGTCTACTTTCAGTATTTTCTCACGGAAAGCCAGAGTCCGAAGACGGGGCATTGCGAGAGGCATCTTCGAAGATCGCTTCATTTACAGTTTTGTAAAGAGAGCTATATACACTGGCCGCATTCTCGCCATTTCACTTCAGCCGGTGGCAGCACCACCCCCGCTTCATCTGGCATGACGTCAGAAAAGTATCTAGTTAAACCACGTTGCAACCGCGTTTCCAGTAGAAAGTCAGTGTTGCGTGCGTGCGAGCGTGTGTGTGTGTGCGTGCGTGTGTGTGTGTGCGTGTGTGTGTGTGTGTGTGTGTGTGTGTTTGATTGTGTGATTGTGTGCGTGTGTGTGTGTGTGTGTGTGTGAGTGATTGTTTGTGCGTGCGTGCGCGTTTGTGTGTAGTGTGCGTGTGTGTGTGTAGTGTGCATGCGTGTGTGTGTGTGTGTGTGATTGTGTGCGTGTGTGTGTGTGAGTGATTGTTTGTGCGTGCGTGCGTGCGTGTGTGTGTGTGAGTGATTGTTTGTTTGTGCGTGCGTGCGTGTGTGTGTGTGTGTGTGTGTGTGTGTGTGTGTGCGTGCGTGCGTGCGTGCGCGCGCGCGCGCGTGTGTGTGAGTGGGGTGTGTGTGTGTGTGTGTGTGGGTGTGTGTGTGTGTGCGTGTGTGTGTGTTGTGTGTGTGTGTGTGTGTGTGTGTGTGTGTGTGTGTGTGTGTGTGTGTTGCAACATAACAGACGAAGATCCGGCGTTGCATCGCGTATATATAAGGGGCAACTCGGTGAGATTTGTCCGCACATAGGGAAAGTGAGTCAAGCAGACTGAAAGGCTTCGTCGTCGGAACAGAACCAAGGGGTGTCAGCGAACCGATGAGACGGAAGAAAAGTGGGCTGTATGCTTCAAGAAGCGTAACCGTACAGAGAACCAAGCTAAATAATGACCAGATCTGGGCACCCGCAGCAGCTCTACGGACGCAGCCTCCCTGCCATTTCCTATGGCAGGCTGTGTTCGCTAAGCTGTTACGAACGCTCAACTAAATCTGTCTAGCAAGATTCACCATACCTCTCGCTACGCATACCTAGGAG